ATTATTCTTTACATTAATTTCTTACTTCTGCTTTTTCTTGTGCTTATGAAAGATGCCATTACGTCTACCACAACAATGTAATGGTTTCAAAATCATTAATTTTATAAATCCTACTTCAATGTTGTACATGCACAGTATTTTTTCCAAATTATTTTGTTGAAAAATTCAGGCAAAATCAATCACATATTTACAGAATTTCTGGTGGGGAATCAAATCAGCAACATTAGAACTGTTCTTTAAGAAAAGGCAGGGAAGGGTTTAGGGAATGTTACTTGATTACAAAACAAGTTGCTTTTTTTAAAGCCAAGACTGAGTATTCTTATATGACAACTATATCCGTACCTTCTTAGATTAAGTCTATTGTGTTTAACATGACTTACATATGCATGAGTACCTGAAGGAAGAATCTAACTAATCTTTGGCTGATCCTGAAAAGCTGATCAGGGCTAGACCTGTTGGTAACTAAGGTGAGATACCATAAAGAAAACCAGGGCTGTAGGTTTGAACTGAGTGACTGAAGGAATATTTTCAAGGAAGGTCCTGGCAAACTACTTCCAAAATGTTGCCAAGCAAATGCTACCAACTTTTTGCTCAGCACTGGAAAAATGAAGAAACACCGTTGGACGAAGAGATAATCAAGAAAGTACTGGACTGTGCTGAAATGGACAGACTTACATTGAGGATTAAAGAAAAAGAAGATACAGAATATTTTCAAACATGGAACTTATTTTGTCAATGGCTGGAAAAACGGGGTAGAGAATAAGAACTTAACTTGTATTACTAAGCAAAACAAATCAACCCAGACAACACATTGTTTATTAAGCACTAATAGAAAATTAATAAAATAATTAAAAAAAAGAAAATGCTACAAATGTTTTATGAAGTCATCAGGAGTGAGGTCAAGAGACAGTATATATTGTGAAGGACTTTAGGATGGCTTATAGCAGGTAAAGCAGATATTAAATTGCTGTAAAAGTAGTTTTTTTTAAAAAAAAAATCATATCTAGTCATAAAGAATGAATTATGAAATGATTTAATTCAACAGAACAGAGACATCTTTACTTTAAGTATTGTTAAAAAAACCCCCAATACTTAAACTTGCTATTTCTGTTTTGAGAAACAAAGCCCAATCGATGTATAAGCTTTAAGCAAAAGTTTCTAGGCTATTTGTTTTTTAAGTTTAGCCATCCTGGGGCAAATGAACCAAATCATACTGTGTGGAGAAAGGGGAGGAAACACCGAGCAAAGAATTGCCTATCAGCCCCTCTGAAAACAATTTAAATCAAACATTTGCCTAATTTCTATTTGTCAAAACCCACTGTCAGAAACGGACCAGAGGAAAAAGACAGTACAGATAGTCCTTGAGTTAATGACCGCAACTGAGCCCAAAATTTATGTTGCTAAGTGAAACACTTGTTAAGTGAATTTTGCCCCATTTTATGACTTTTCTTGCCACAGTCATTAAGTGAATCACTGCAGTTGTTTAGTTAGTAACACAGTTGTTAAGTGAATCTGGCTTCCCCATTGACTTTGCTTACCAAAAGTACACAAAAGGTGATCACATGACTCTGGGACACTGCGACTGTCATTTAAATGTGAGTCAGTTGCCAAGCGTCTGAATTTTGATCATATGACCCTAGGGATGCTGCAATGGCTGTCAGTGTTGAAAAAGGGCCATAACTCACTTTTTTCAGTGCCGCTGTAACTTTGAACGGTCACTAAATGAACTCTTGTAATCTGAGGACTATCTGTACAGGTGTCTTCAACTTACAACCATTCGTTTAGTGATTGTTTGAAGTTACAGCGGCACTGAAAAAAGTGATTTATCAACTGTTTTTCACACTTGTGACCGTTGCATCCTCCCCATGGTCACCTGATCAAAATTTGGATGCTTGGCAACTGACTCATGTTTATGACGGTTGCAGCGTCCCGGGGTCATGTGATCACCTTTTGAGACTTTCTGACAAGCAAAGTCAATGGGGAAGCTAGACTCACTTAACAACTGTGTTACTAACTTAACAACTGTAGTAATTCACGTAACAACAGCGGAAAGAAAGAACATAAAATGGGGCAAAACTTGCTTAACAACTGTCTTGTTTAGCAACAGAAATTTTGGGCTCCATTGTGATCGTAAGTCGAGGACTACCTATAAAATTGGAGTACTGGAACCTATAAAATGTTTCCACTTTGTAAAAAATAAGCATCTTACATTCCCAATCCTAAGCACTCTCACTCTCCCATTCTGATATCGTTCGTGTTATCACCAGCAGCTATCTTGCTTGCTTAGAAGACTGGTGGACTAGTGACATTCACTTCTTTTATAATGGAAAGAATATTTAATTCTATATCTATTCATTTCAGAACAGATACATCAAAAATTCTAACACACCTGCCAGTTTCAAGTAAAAAAAACCCGAATTCTTGGTGGGAGTAGTTATTACAACAACATTCTTGTAGATTTTCTTAAACAAAAGGAATGGGAACTAAAAATGTTTTAAGATAATCACCGGGAAACTGCTCTAAGTCTTAATACCTAGTGCAGATCATTGAACAGTCCTGTCTCTCAATGCCAAAGGATTTTTGAATTGCACTGCTAGTACAATCCTCCCCATAGCTTAATTTTACTTAAGAAGACAATACCAAATATGTTCTCGATCCAAAAAGAAAAAAAAAACACACCCAAAAACCAAATACGCTTTAGGGAAAGAGAAATAAAGACTTGAAACATTGCTATTTCTTCTTTATAAATCAGATTTACAATATATAGCACTTTTTAAGCATTTCACGAGAAAGGGCTTCTTATCTTGAGCAACAAAGAGATAGGAAAGCCAGACTTCTACTCCTCATTTTGTTTCAGAATAAGGATTTCGGATCAGTAACACAGATGTCTTGGTGGCTACAAAAGTGATTGGGAATTGGGAATTCTGGGAATGTTAGTTTAGTACACCTAGGTCCATAAGATTGGAGAAGGCTAATTTAGGAGTTTAATACATGCAAGGATGTTGTGAAACTACCCATGAGTTAGACTTATGAACAACTTTTCACATATGTCTTCTGAAATTGAAAAAAGAAATTGGAGAATGGTACCGAAACACCGGATCTGCAGAATATTTTGTAGTTGGTAAGTTATGGAGCAGTGCTTTCACGCAAAAGCTTAATCTTATTTCTACTGGAAGGATATTCACATTTCCACAAAAACAGTCTGCTAAAAGGCCTTCCTGCACAGATTCAAGCACATTACAATACTGCAGGACTCATTCTCCAACCTATAAAGGAATAAAAGTGAAATCTCCTTCAAAAGCTGGTAATTTCATGGACATACTCATAACGTTTTCTTCTACTGCTTTTTTCCTGCCCTCCACAGGATATGGTTTGGGATATTAAGTGTGGGATAACACAGTTTGCCTTCCAACCCCCTCTTGTCCCAAAAGCGTATTTTCCTTCTATAACAGCAAATCCTTGCGAATTCCAGTTCCTCTGGTCTGAAAGAAACGTTTGCAAAGGGACGGAAGGCTTTGGGGGAGTGATCCTGTGCTGCTTCAGGCCTTCCATCCCTTTGCAAAAGCTTTTGGTGTGGAGAAAGCCTGAAGGAGCGCGAGACCACACCCCAAAGGCTTCTCTTCCCCACACCAAAAGCTTTTGCAAAGGGACGGAAGGCCCGAAGCAGTGTGAGATTGCTCACCATGAAGCCTTCCGTCCCTTTGCAAAAGCTTTAGGCGCGGAGAAGAGAAGCCTTCGGGGTGGGGTCTCGCGCTCCTTCAGACTCACCGAAACTGCCCGGGGTTCCAAAAGCGGATTGGGTGTCCTGCACAGGCAGCCTCGGTGAGCCAGTGAAACTGAGTAGGACACGAACATCCCACTCTACCTCTGCTCTCGCCACTCCGCTTCTGGAGCAGCAGGAGCAGGCAAAGAAACTGCACTGCCCCGGCAGAGAGGCTGGAAAGGAGATAGCTCTCTTGAGGAGAGAGGAGGAGTGGTCAGCCTGTTCTGGAACTCTGGATCTCCGAAAGGTAAGTGAGCCTTTGGGATGGGGAGGAGCTGGTGGGCTATCATAGCATGGCCAGTGCCTGTTAGGTCCTGGTGGGGTGTGGGAATAGGCAGGTGGAAAGTTGCAATGTCACTGCAGTCGGCCGTTAAGGGTGAGCGACTGCCGTGTGGCTGCAACATTTGTAACTTCAGGACTGTGTTGTAAGTACTTTTGTCGTAACTTTGAACTTTTGCTAAGTGAACTGTCATAATTTAAAGGCTACTTGTATTGCCTGCAGAAACAGATATCTATATTTATATTTATGTATATATATTTAAAAATCTGACCTTTTGCATGTATATTTGGAAAGAAAATGTGTTCAATTTAATAGGATTTAATCTCAGGTAAATATATGTATGATTGCAGTCTAAAAATTTTAGTACCGATTTTTAAATTATTATACATTTTTTTCCTTATTCTTTTTAATATAAATCAATGATATCTCCCTAAGCCTAAAACTTTTTCTATTCCACTCCAATTTCCACTGCTTGTTTTACTTGGGGAAATTTTATATGGCAGTTTACCAGTCAATAAAACTAATCTTTTCATTCATTGTATTCTGTACAGTGCAAACGTTTTGTATTTTATGGGTATAAGTTATTTGTCAAAGCAGGGAAAGAGGAAGAAAAAAACAAATAAAACAATTGGTTTATTAAATGTTGAAAAAAATTAAGCAGAATGTAGTGGAAACATTTTAATCAGCAGCAAGAAGAGATAAAAAAACTAAAATATTAAAAACTAAAAACAAAACAAATATAAACAAAACCCCCATGCTTGTCCCTGGAGCATTACATCCAAACCTCAGAAGTGTCACTCAAAACAATCCAGTCTGACATCTGGAATTCTAAAATTCCTATGGGGCTTGAGCAAAAGCCTTTTTAGTGTCAAGATGAAGAAATGTGTGTGGTATCTGCTACCGCACCCTATAAATCTGCTTAACACCGTGCCTATAATTTGTTTAAAAGATACTTACTTTAAAGAAAGTGAATAGTCATGCTTGCTTGTTTGACTGTTCCTCACCAGATAGCTACATTCTTTACACAAGCGCAAGAGGTTTTCTGCATCTGTCCGACTGATTGCTCCATGATACCATCTGTAAAAAAAATAAAAGCATTTGACACTTAGAATAAATTCACTTTGAAGTTTTACAGGGTTTTCAAAGACATTCTAATGTACTACACGATATGCAAGACCAAGCAAAGCAACTTTGAGAGATGTGTACCGGACACAGCCCTGCAAACTCCCAACAACTGCAAAATACTACTTTCATGTCAGTTGCTGCTGCCCTATGTTTCCCTGCACCAAGTATCATCAACTTACATCTGTTTTTCTAGCGGAATAGTTGGATCCACTCTCTCCCCCAAGATTCCACAGAATTCTGGGCTACCATGTTTGATGGGTTTGAAGCCTCCCCCAGGTGCACGAAGCTGTCGGCGCCGATCACTTGAAGACGGAGAAGGTGAAGATTGCCTTATCTCTCCCCCGTTGAACTGGGCTGTAAGACATATTCAAGTAAACCATTACCTCCAAATTAGCAAATACCCAAAGAATTTTAAATATTGAACAGAAATAATGGATTTTAAAACAAATAAAAGTACTCTGTACACCAGTGATGGTGAACCTTTTAGAGACCGAGTGCCCAAAAACTGGCCCCGCCCCTGCTCCACCCCCTGCCCCTCCCCGTTCCGCCCCCACCCCGCCTGCCCGCAGGGCCACTCACCGCCTCCAGGACCCACCGCAGATTGCCCAGGTAGCCCAGCAGCACCATGGCGGCC